TAATATATTATTTCTTCCCGGTGTTAGGAATAACACCGAATAGCAATATTCGCTTGATGGCGAATATTCTCGCAATATATATATCGGGGAATTGTTATACAATTTCCACCGATAACATGTTGCTAAAATATCATCAAGTTTTCGGTTTTTTTTTAAATCCCCCTTGGTATTTGTCCTTTCGAAACTAAAAAAGATCCAAACTTCGGAGAGCATCTGAACATGTACACATGAGCTAGGGGCCGGGTGAACTTCCGACAGGTACGAAATTCATCCAATTTTTCACTTCTCCGTGTGGAATGAACAAACGAGAACTTGGGTGAACTTTTATAGCTTCTAGAGTCTGCAAAGAAGTTCAAGTGAAAGACCACAAAACTTGGAAGTTTATACTTTTAATGCGGAAGAATTGAAATTCACGAAGGGAACCTGAGAAAGTGCTTCCAAAGAAATGGTTTTTTAAAATACATCTGTCGGGTAAATTTGCTTACAAAATGGGTCCCTTTAATAGTGAAAGTAGTTTAATGGCTCATTTGTGAGGAACTTTGACGCTAAGAACCGTTCGAATTTGAATGTTTCCTTACATTGAAAATTCGGTTATTATAAACGGAGGAAAATATTGAATTAGAAGAAAGTGTAAAAAAAGGAAACATCTTGAAAGCTAGCAGTTCTCTCCTCTCAGAAAAATAAGGCAAGGCAAAGTAAATTTCGGGGCTTTCAATGCAGATTATGTCCAAACCAAAAACAAAAAAAACACTTTAAAGCTTTTTTTCCTATAGGGCTCTATTTTTGTCATAAGAAAAACTAAAATTACTTCGGTGTGTGGTCAGCGTATGTCTATCTGACACGCAAATCTATGCAAATTATTTATAGCGTTTCCAATTTAAAAAATCATATCAAAGTACGCTCTCCTCATCGGGGTTAAGAAGACTGAAACTTAAACGAATGCAGCCGACATCCGCGTAATTCTCGCAGCATTTCTTGGCAGTTCGAAAATGCCATATTGCGTTCATGTCGGAAAACCGCAGTGTTGTTGTGATGGTTTTCAAACTTTGCAGCATACATCATCTGAAAAAAAATCTCAAGCATCCTTGAAAACCTTTGACGAGAAAGGGTCAAGCAGTATTTGCTTGACGCGCAACGAGTTTCTTTGACCCAAGAACGCGACGCAGTCGCTTTTCGCGGACAGCGGAAAGCGACCTCATGTCGCAGTAGTTGCCAGATTGACCTTCTTTCCCCCCTTTTTTCCCCACCAAGGGTCGTAAACTTCGTCAGTCCACTAATGCAGGAAGGTCGAGTTAATACTCCGTTCGCGAAAGCTTGACGGAAAGCCAAGTTCAATAATTGAAAGCTCTTACGCAGGAATACCCAAGTTTTAATTCTATTTCTGAAATTTTGCGTGTTCGAACGCGGCGAGGCTCCAAAGACCGACGTAGATTGTTTATAACCGACAGGCTTCAAATAACGGATAGTGATGCACGTGCCTGTGACAGGCAGGAGGTCAGGTTCTAAATTGAGTATTTCGCGGCGCAGAGGATAATTTTTATTTCTCGCTTGTTTTCGGAAATGTTGTAGGTACAGGTGCCTGAGGAACGAATGTCTAAGCTAGTGGGTGAGAGGGAGAAAATCACGCGCGGAGAAAATCCCGCGTGCAAAAAATCCGCGTATACGTGTTGTTAAAAAAAAAAAAGAACTACAACAACTGCATGTTTGTTGGTATCTTTCAAAAGTTGTAAAACATTCAATCACGTTACTCTTCAACATGTGCCTTTTTGCCTGAGCAAGCATTTGTACTCTGAAACGATTTTCTTGTTCCGTTTTATTTTTAATTTGAAGAATTCTTGAAAATATTGTGAAAATAAAATAAGGTATGAAGTACAGTATTCAAAGTTTCAAAAATAAGTAATGAAAGACACACGTCCTCGAATATTAGGAAGCATTTATTTCCTCATTATTTTTCATCGCATTTTAATTTTTGGAGCCGTTTTGTCTACTGTGATACGATCATTGTGCAATTTTGTTGATTGGGTATCTTTACTTCATTCCCCTCATGGTATGGGACTTATTTCTCTTTTATTTGAGTCCTCGATTGAACAAAAGCCGATTTTCTCTCACTGAATGGAAACAAGGGAAAATTAACTTTCCAAAGATTTCGTTAATACTGTACTGTAATACTGCTGCATGATAGTGTATTCTACAGTGAATTTCTATAGTTGAGCTACAGTTATAGTTTATTTTATTTTGTACTGCATTATATCTATAGTTTCTTTATAATGTATATACTGTAGTCAACTTCCGCTTTTGTGGGTTGTACGGTTCTGTGCCTTCCTATCAAGAAAATTGAAAATGTTGAAGTTTAAACTTTCTGCAGATGCGCTGGCTTACAGTATTTAAAAGGCATTGGAAGGAAGCACTCCAGTGAAACAAACTAAAGTTGCAATTACCTGAAATGAATTTTTGACGAATATCACAGCGCCAGACTAACTTTCTACAAGCGAAAAAATATCGAATCTTCCCTAAAGACAGTAGTGTACTGCTGGTACTAGGGCCACCCAAAGAACAAGGCAAATTTTCTCAATGAAGAGAACACAAATAAGAGATGTGTAAAATTCTTTTTTTCAAATTACCCCTTTACACTGTAATTTCGTGTAAGAATTATAGGATATGATTATTGCTTCTCTTTCTGAAATAAAATTATTATGTGAACCCTGCAATCAAGTTATTCGTGATGGATGAACCCACTCTTGGTTTCTTTCAAGGACTTTGAGCGAACCACCCGAGTCGAGCGCCCATATGAAAGTCTAAAAAAAGTGTTCAGTTAGCTCCCACTTTTTCGCACCTGCGGGATTTTTTCTACGCGGGATTTTCACCGGGTGCCGTTTTTCTCTCGTGGTGTCGGAAAGGTCATAGGTACAGGTGCCTGCGGAGCGAATGTCGAAGGAATGTCACGACGGAGATGAACGAAACGCAGACGGGCGACGGAACGCCAGGGAGCAAGGGAAGGTAGTTAAACGGGCGCAGGTGCCAAAAAATCGCTCGAGACTGGGCCCGCTTCGGCCCGGGTAGCCATAGTGTTCCGACCGAAACCAAGCAAGGCGGATATATCGAACCCCGTGCAACCAACACGGAATTCCAGTCTGCTTAGTTTCGTGCTTTTCATCGTGGTGTCTGCAAAGCGGCGTTTTTCTCGTGGGTCGGGATTTTTTTCGACTTGAGTTGTGAGCAACAACAAACGTGACCTTTCGCAGGTGGTGGATTTGATTGTGCGGACCCATCATGCCCGAGGACGGGACGGTTGCTCCCAAAGTTTCGGTGGAGTTCGAGGTTTTTGGTAATGTTCAAGGTGAGTCGTATACTGTATTTACGAACTCTTCAATAAGGCTGCCATTCGATTTTCTGACGTGTTCATTCGAAACTGACCATGGGCCTGGATTGACATGATTATCGCATTCAAGACCACTGAGAGTAAAGCTCTTTACTGTACTCGTACGTTGTCAGAATAATAAGAGTTCTAGTTCTGTGTGTCACATGTGAGTCTTTCTGAAGCGATTTCCCCTGAAGAATGATGCTATATACAACTTACTTTGCGATCTTCAGGTCAGTATTTCACATGCATAATGAAATGATCTACAGTATTGTTCTCTAAAGAAAAGAAAAAAAGAAGGATTTCTTGATTATGTGTCAGGGCGCCTCACTTTCAGCATTCAGAAACTGACTCATCAGTGAAGTTCCATCCACTGATCCTTCAATCACACAAAAGACATATTGCTTTGATTAATTAATTTTTCTTTGGAAAAGCCTTGGAACAGGTAAACGTCTTCAACAATTTTTTTCTTCAGGAATACATATATTCTTTAAAACCGCAAATTCTTTGCGGACGTCTTCCGGAAATACCTAGAAAGCGAGCTCCTCCCCAAGATTTTTTTCTTAGGATAGTAGATTTTGGCTTCTCGGCAACGTTACTCTACTATCTGTACAATACACTTTTTTTGTCTCCAGAATATTATTGTAGTCCATCTGCTGTACTTATTTGTATTGAAAATTGTTTACTTTGTATAGGCTGCTATTTTACAAAATATTGCAAGGACCAGTGCGATCGACTTGGGATTTACGGATGGGTGAAAAATACAAGGAGTGGAACAATTGTGGGAAAGCTGCAAGGCGACCGAGACAAAGTGGACGAAATGTAAGGTGAAGTTGGGTTCTGCAGTGGATTTGAAATATGCTTTTCTCTCTCTTGGCTTTTGTCATTGTTTCCTTAGATCAATGTGGCTGTCAAAACAGGGAAGTCCTGGATGCCGCATTGACCAATGTGAACTCAGGAACTGGGAGTTGGTAGTGAAACCCGACTTCCGCAACTTCAGCATCCGATTCTGAAACATTTTTCTGCAGCTCAGATTTTGACCCGCGACTATAATTGAACACGTTGGCAAGCTGTTGTGCATTTGCATGGAAGAAGCGAAAACCTCATTTGATCAAGACTCTATAGTTGATAGATTAAAAAAAAGAAAGAAAACTCTTGATCAAATCGTGTCGCTTCTATTACTGTAAAGGTTGTCTTTTATTTGAGATGGTATGAGTCGAAAAGTTTTCATCAGTCAAATGGCTTGTTTGAAGATTTTGTGAGGTCTGTGTATGTCCAACTGTTTGAAACTTCAATTTCAGAATAAATTATTCCCTGTGTTTGAAGTGTTACTGTACTTTGACGATGCTTTATTGTGTTCGTCCTATCCTGGAAGAAAGATTGCTCATGCTTTGAAATAGCACACAAGTGCAAGAACCAGATTTGTGAAGAAATGAAGCTTCCATTTTTCCGATTTCCTGCTGCTTAAGCTTTATTTTAGTTTAATTTAATTCTTTCTTTATCGATTCGATTTTTGTATCTTTTTCTGAAATGTTTCACCTCCACACATGCAAAACATAGATGTGGCAGATTTTAAACTTTCCACTCAAAATTGTCATGCGGCATGCGGTAGCAATCTGATTCATAAATTGTTACTATTAAGCATATACTGTATAAAATTCCGGTTTCGTCGTATCCCGTGATTTTTTTCTTCCTGGAAGTCTATTCAAGATTGCGCATGTGGGGGTCAGTCTTATTCCTTTCCATCAATAATTTTAGCATAATACTCGATCATCAGCTATATAACTTTATGGTTATTTGATGGATGATAGCGAGGTTGCAAAATCACTCAATTTATTTATACGCGATGAAATGTAAAGGAATCGAACTGACATTAGCCAAAGCATACTTATTCATGCAGATTGTCGTTCAGGGGACCCTTTTTTCATTCTGCGTTCATCACATCATGAACCCTAATCTGAGTCATCCAACTGAGAAACATAAATCATGTGAGAATAAATGATTTGTCACAGAGCTGTCACTGAGTGACGAAGCCCGCAAATATCAATGATATTTTTATAGCGTCTCGGCCCGGACGATTGAAACCTATGCATAGCTTATTGTTCATGGATTATTTCGTGTATGCTCTGACGAAACTAAATTTTAAATTGTTATCAATATGTACAGTATCATACATTTCAAACCCAACTGCACTGCAGATAAACGTTCATTCAAATTTGAAATTATTTTCAGGACTGAAAGTCGATAAAATGGATACAGCATTAAGATCATCACAAGATACTGCAGTAACGTATACCTTAACCTTGGCAGAATCAATGCATAAAATCTGCGTCAAAACGTAGGAAAACTAAGTTTGCGGCATCATGCTTTTCCACACTCGCACCACGGAGAGATTATAGCGACGTGTTTGCTTTAAACATGTTTCACGGTACTCAAGAGCGTCGGTTTCACCTGATAAGTGCTGGGAACAATTATAGGTGCAGGTTGGAGACCCATGTTGATTAAGTGACAGGATAATCAACACGCTCCAGCTTCACTTCGGAAAAGCGCTTAGGAGGAAAACGCTTGCGAATCTTCACCAGGCCTCCTCGATCTGCCGCTGGGTACCTGAAAAGAATGGAAAATTTCATTGCACAACAATCCAGTTTTGTAGTCTTCCCATCAAGATTGCATTCCGATCCACCCTTCCAAAACATGTACCATCAGGAAGTGAATTTGAAAAAGACTTCACACGATTTCCCGTCCCATCTTGCCAATCAATTATGGGTGCGTATGTAGTTGAGCGTAGATAAGATGCAGCTAAGACTTTGGCACAGTCTTAGGATAGATGGCAGCAGGAAAGAAAAATGGCCACTCGCATGGAGAAGGTAGTGAGGTTTCGGCCTGGATGGCTCAACTGCATAAGCACCTTGGACAATTTGACATTTGTGTTTGTGGACGCGGAATTTCCAGTGCGGCATTCGAGTTGAGATAGTATCCAAGCGAATTTTTCTCATAAATCACGAGACCAGTTCACTTTCTTCGCGCAATCTTGGATTTAAGAGCAATTGCTTTGATTTTTCGCGTCGTCGTCCCAGTGATATTAGAAGGAGACGTCTTGGTGTTTCCTCGGTTCAAGGAGAGACCACTCCATGTGAGCAGCATGGTTTATGCACAAGGTTGTCGTATCTTTTTATACGTTCTGTAACGGATGACTCACCGATGCCTTCCGCTCCCAATTCCTGGGAAACCCGGTCAGTTCCCGTCGAAGGCATCGTTGTTCGGCAGTATCCACCCATCGCACGCGTCCGATTCTACTATTTTCTGGAAATAATAGCGTGGCCAGGTAGAAATGCATTTTTCATTATTTCTTCAATGTTGGAGATGCTGGTAGGACTCCACCCGCCGCATGATGTCCTCCCGAGTTGATTTTGTATTCTGATGCGGAAAGAGAGTCCCCCGTTCAGCATTTCATTTTGGTTCTATGCGGGTCGGATATAGCATTTGTCCTTGATGATTCCGGCGCGAGACAAATGTGGAGATCGTCATTTGTGATTTTCTTTTACCGTGTGAAAGATCTAGGTTGAGGTTTTCTAGCTTCTTGCTTGCAATTGTACTGTCGTATTCGTGTGATAATTTTGTAACCAAATGTTCAACCACTTTCGTTCGCAATTATCTGCGTTTAGATTCAAGCTGATGGGATAATGATTAATGTATTGTACTCTGTTGAGATCCTGTGCAAGGCTAAGGGCCATCCATTGAAAATGTCTTTCTTCGTTAGTGGTGACATGATTGTTGACGTGTTGGCCTCACACATTCGTATTGATTTCGATCCGGATGTAAGTTGAATTTTTGTGGTCGTACTGTGTTCCACCTTCAGTCTAAGCTGGTTCTTTGTAGCAGTGACAAACTTCGAATTCGAATTATTTTATTCTTGAATTTAATGTAAATGGAGCGAAAATACACCAAATTTGTAAAAAAAATTTGATAGAAAATTTTTGAAAATGGTTTTTAAATTCCCTGAAAACGTAGTGCGTTCATTTCTGAAATGCCCCTTATCTGTGCATTAAAATCAGAGGGCTCTTATTGTGTGCGTTTTATAGCGGGAAAGAATACAGATTTCCGGTATGCATGACGATGTGCTAGGTCATTCGCCGAAAAAATAATTATTCTTGAAGCGTTCTTCGTATTCGATTTGGGACGTTTTCAGACTAGGAAGTGCTTCAGTTTTTAGTAGATCCAATTTCAACAAAACCACGCCGATGAACTGCGATTCAAGAAATACTGTTTCGGTTATGCATTTCGATTGAAAGTGTGCTGATGATAGTCTTTAATCACGCGCTTCAGATCAAGGTCAGTATTGTTTTTAAATCTTTGATGACAGTGCGAATCAATTCCCCAATTGGTGACGTACTGAGGTGCTATTGTACGGAGGTTTCGTTCGATTGGAGTTACTCGACCGAAGTCCAAATTCCTGTCGCGAAATGTGAGACGGAGCAGTGATGTATTTGTGAAAGAGACACCTGTACTAATATGTGATCGTGTGAACATGGCTCTGTTCTCATTAGTTGATTGTGTTGGCTCAATTAATTGGAAAGGTGAGCTCCGCGGAGACCGTCCTGCCCAGGCGTATCTTTGGCTTTCAATATTTCAGTGGTGGATCAGTGTTCGTCGTCGACCTTCGGGAGCTTAATTACTTCAGCGATCCAGCCGGGATCGTCACTATCGTTTCCATGCGCGCGACCATTTTTCTCCCCTGCTGCCCTCTATCACTGAACTACATAAGCTCCGAACAATTATCTGTACAAATTGATTCTTTGTGGAAATGTTCTATTTCTTAAAATGTCAGCTAGTTTCACGTCGTCAGATATGTTCAATTCCATGATTTCCACCGCCACATCATCGACGGTCGGCTCCTCAGAGGAGTTTCCGCGGGGACTCCCGAGTTTTCAAACGCGCGAGAGCCTCCGCTTTGAATTCCTCCAGTGTTTTAGAATTTTTAGATCGGTTCTCCATTTTACGTCTTCTACAATTCTTTCCTCGTTTGATGTAGTGGCGGTTTTATTTTCGCATTGCATGACTGCAAACTTAGAAAAATAAACTTATAACATTGATTCATTACCTGACACTTGGTTTTCTCTTCCGGTGTATTCATATGATGGGATATTTTGAAATGATTTGACAAACATGTATACTCGTGTTAGTTATGTGAACAATTGGAAAAAAAATTGAAGTTACTGCGGAAGCCCCAGCAAGAGTTCAACATACGTGTGCGTTGGGTTCGGAAGACTGGTTTGAAATTGCCGGCCGAAGATTTGAAAACTATGCTAACAATAGTGTATAAAACTGTACTGTACATAGTACCTGGCTTCCTTGTAATACCTTTAACCATTACAAAGCATCACCTCGCAGTGAAAAAGATGTTTATGAAACGCTCTGTTACTTGTGTGGAAATTCCTCATTCTATCAAGAAATAGGAGTTGCCTCCATCAAAGCTTTTCAGAGAGAAAAAAAAAACTGTCTTACCAAAGAAGAAAGCGGTGTTTTTCAAGAAAACAAAGAAATTCTTTGAATTGTAGACGAGGGAGAAAACTTCCCCGTTAATGTAGATTTGAGCAGAAGGGAAAATTGATTGTGAATTTCCTAAATTTCAAATGCTTTAGTTAGCCAATTCAAGTGGATGAAAATAAATTAGTATTTTTATATCGTTTCATACATAACTTGCACTACTGTAATACAACTGTCTTCAAACGAATAGTATCGTTTTCATAAATTATGCGTTAACAAAATATTCAGCCGGATGAAATAAATCGGAATGGACCGAGTAGAGTTTAAAGATGTCTAAGGAACATATTCGAACACCAGGTCACTTGAGAAATTCAATTTTGAAAAATGAGGGCCAGTTTTCTGGAATCAAAAAATTCCGGATCTTATTTTAAACAGATCTTATTTTTCAATTGCGGAGAATGTGCATCATTCTGTTGAACAGCAGCTCTTGTGTTAAAATGTTGAAAATAATAGAGGATTAACGTGAATCAATTTAGGCAGTTCTGAACTCTGGAAGAACGGCTGGAAGCTATTGTTGAAAAGCACACAGTAAATGCTTTTCTGTACACCTTGATATTTGAGATTTGTTCGAAACAGAATCCGAACATCCGGAACTCGGATAACTGGCAGAATCAAGATGCATACTGTCGGTGCAGGCGTAAGTTTCGATTTTTTCATGGATATTGTTTTTTTCTTTGGCGATTTAAATTTGATCAGGCCCATGCTAGTAGACATCCGTGGGAAGATTATTAGATAAACTTCATTCTGGCACGAAGTCAAGGCTCTGGGGATTGAGGAGATATTACTGTTGGTTAGTGATCGAAAATCCAAAATGTACAAGGGGAAATTTTTCCGCTGACCGGCACCGATCTCTTGACCACCCGGTCGAGGAACTCAGCGTTGTTTTTTTCACGTGGCAGAAGTTTT